TCTCCCCGCCTCCGTAGCAGCGCTGGCTGGGGATGTCCGATTGCTGGCTTAGGCCCACTTCCTGCGAGGGGACCTAAGCTGGCAATTGGACATTCCCCAAGGGCTCCCGGACTACGAGAGGGCATAGGCCGGGCTGAGGCACACCCCCCCACCCAAAGTGCACGAGTTTTGTGCACCAGGCCTCTAGTCATTTTATAATCACAGGAAATTTTATTTTAAACATTTGAATTTTCCATATTCATGATAGCCACATTCTTAATTTTAATAAGCTACTATACCTGCCTCATAAAAAAAAAAGAGCACTGGAAAATATACATAAAAATAATTTTGATAATTCAATCTTTGAGTATCACAGAAGCATATTAAAATTCTCCTTCATGAATACAAAAACCTTTGAAAGTCCAAATTTTAAATCTCTTATGCTTAGGAAATTGGATATTTTTAAAAATCACTGATTTTCATATATCAAATCTAAGTGGTACTAGTACTATTTAATATGAAAAAATAAAAAATGATATGAAAATTAGCAGTAAGAACAGATTATGTCATATGCAGTATGAATTAAATTAAAGGTATAAATCCTTGATTAAAATTATGAAATTTCTAGTTTTATAGAAACTAATAAAAGAAAATGGGAATACCATAAGGGGAGAAAGGAGTTTAGAGCAGGTTTTGGTACCTGAAAGCTATGGACTCCAATATTGCTCGTACAAGATGGTATTTACTAGTGGAAGGCTTCAAACCCATAAAAGAGGCACAAGCACAGGGGTCATTTAATGGAGCCTAAAGTAAGAGATAGTAAGAATATATTATTATTGTTCTAAGTCACATCTATAGACTTAAAGACATATTATTCAATAAAAATGAACACATTAGAAAAAAATCCCTATTATAGTTAAGTAGCTTTAAAATAAATAACAGTCCAAAATTATATTAAATATTACCATAACTTTTTAAAAGGGCTTGAGCAAGTTTGAGAACTGACATGGGACTTACCTGGGCCTTCTGTTTGAGCTCATACCAAGAAAAGGCACTGCGGTACAGAGTGACCAATTATTAACAGCCCAGCTTTATTAATGAAGGCAATGAAAAATAGTCCTTGTACCCCCTTCTCTCCAGTTGTAGGGTTTTTACACATAAAGTTGTTCACTGCATAAAGGAGCTTTTCGAGGACATAAGTTAGACTCAAGATAAAGAACAATAATGCAAAAAATATGTTTTTCAGTGTCATAACTTATACCCAATATGTCACCAGACACTCAATCGAGTACTCAATTTCTTAGCTTACAGTCTTGTTGTCTAATATGAGAAATGACCCAGCCTAACATCTGTCTTTAAAAGAGTCAAAATCTTGCCCTGGTTGGTGTGCCTCAGTGGGTTGGAGTGTCATCCTGTATACCAAAAGATTGTGGGTTCCATTTCCGATCAGGACACATACCTAAGTTGCAGGTTTGATCACTGGAGGCAACTGATCTCTCTCTCTCTCTCTCTCTCTCTCTCTCTCTCTCTCTCTCTCTCTCTCCCTATTCCCCTCTTTCCAAAATGAATAAACATAACCTTGAGTGAGGATTACACAAATTTCTTTTAAAGAGTCAAAATCTTGAGCTGGATGTATTCATCAGATGAAATTTGTATTCATCATATGAAATTTGTATTCATCTTTGAAATGCAAGACAATTTTGGAACAGAAAACAGATTCCTGCCAGGCTTGCAGTCTCACGGGGAAGCAGAGGAGTTCCGGCACACTTACATAAGGTCATGACAGGGACATGCCAGTGCTGTCAGGAACTGATGGTCCCTAGAAAAAGTACCTGCTAGTTTCAAGCACTCACATATCATCTCTTTACCTGGAAAACTTTCTACCACCCCCTTTTCCTAGTCAATCTTACTACCACTCTAAAACTTGGCTCAGCTTCCTCCAGGAAAGTTCCTGACCCCAGAGACTAGACAAGTCCTCAATGATATGTTTCTGTGGAAGCCTCTAACTTCCCATTACATCAGGTGCCACAGTTTATAATCACAGGTATGTATGTGTGTTTGTGGAAACTCCACTGTTTGTGGCCCTCCATAGGGGATCCACACACATCTGCTCATTGATACACATTGAATCAATGAACAAACAATACTTTTCCTAATTACTTAACTGAAGAAATTCTACATTATATTTTATCTTTACTGTAGCTATAATTTTCCTCCTATTGTGAATTTATCTTGGTAATTTTCAAGTTCATTAATATCTTTTGATGATTCACTCAGTAAAAGTTGATTTATACAGTGAAGCTGGTCTACAAAGATAGGCTAGACTCTGCCAGTTCATTTAGTCCCTAGGATGCAATGGGGTTTCTCTGAAAAAAAAAATTACTTCTTCCAATCTACCACATAAAATTCTGATATGAATGGCTTGAAATCACTTTTGTACAAATAACTATGAACATAATTTACTATAACTAATACACCAATTTGAGGGATAATAAATTCCACCGAAGCCTAAAAATCCCTTGATAGGTTACAATATCCCTGCATTAGTTAGTCCAAGGGACTCTCTCTGGAATGATATGGCAGAAAAAAACACTGGGAAGGTCCTTTTCACGTGCTGCTCATACCTGGTCAGGGCAGACAGCCACCAGTCACCCCTCCAATATATCAGTGCCACTGCCACCGAGTGGGCCTCCCAGAACCAACCACCAACCAGGACAGCACAACCCGGCCAAGTTCTGTTTGGTACCCTAAGCAAAACTTGCAGACTCCTGCCCTGCCCTGCCATGCACAGACTGTCCAGCTGGCAGGCCTCTCACCATGGGGACTTTGGCCCAGGTGTGGGGCCTTGTGGGCAGTGAATGTGAGCAGGCTTCTGTCCCAGTCCACCGTGACCTGACAGTGCATTCCCCTGGTACCTGCTGTGTCATTCTGCTGTCTTGGTATCTACACTCTGCCATGAGAGAGTATGGCAGAGGTGACTATAACCTGGACCCAGGAGTCAGGACATTTAATCCTAAAACCAGAGCTGCTGCTCAGTAGTGTGTGAGATTGGGCAAGTGATTTAACAGCTAACCCTCAAGTCTCCAGTCTTCAGAGCAGGATCCAAAGAGTATCTCATGTGTTACTGAGGAGTAAATGAGATAATGCATGTGAAAAATTTAGGACAGAGCCTGACACACAGTAAGAATTCACAGCTTAGCTACCACTACAATCTTTATTTTACCCACCCCCCTCCCACTACTACTAACTTTCTTCACAATCCTTTCACTGCACCATCTAAATGCTTCCTTCTATTGTAAATAGATTCCCCTAACCCAGTGGTCGGCAAACTGGGGGCTTGCGAGC